GACCATCCTAACACCTCACCCATCCTAACACTTCGCCCATCCTAACACTTCGCCCATCCTAACACCTTACCCATCCTAACACCTTGCCCATTCTAACACCTTACCCATCCTAACACCTTGACCATCCTAACACCTCACCCATCCTAACACTTCGCCCATCCTAACACTTCGCCCATCCTAACACCTCACCCATCCTAACACCTTACCCATTTTAAAATCGGACTTTCGCATGTAGCTGTGTCTAGTATGCAAAAATCGATTCTAGTTCGATTAACTTACATTAGCAAGTTTGGTTTCAAATTCAATAATCTCTTGAGCTTTTTTAGCTATATCTTTTCCTCCGCCAAGAAGAGTTCCAACATCAATTATGAACGCTTTATAGGCTTTGATAATCTGGAACAACATAAAAATAAAGAATATTACATGGGCACAAAAGATATGAATTTTATCTTCTTGAAAATAGAACACGAAAAGATGAAATGTCCAAGCGATCAGGGTTTTTTTACCCTCATTAGAGTTAGCAATAGGATTTGTATGTAGTGTCGGTCAACATTGCTACGACTTCGTCTCATATAAGAGGGTCTCAATGGGGTTAACCGTGAGCCGTGAAACCCCTGAAAAATTAGCCGTGAGTCGTGAAAATGCGAAAAAAATTAGCCATAAGGCGTGAATATTTTTTTATAGCGTGAGCCGTGATTCAGTTTTGTCCCTCAGAAGGACAGTTAACTACGATGTAAATTTTAAAAAATAAAAGCTTTAGTGGAGATTTTTCAAAATTTTGCCTTGCAAGAATTTTTTTTCGGCCCCTCCGTCCGTTCAGGAATTGTTTTCCCTAAATCTTTCACTCTTCCGCTCCCACCCCCTCAAAATTCTACTGGATCGCACCTACCAACAAGGCAGTAATTGCAAGGTCCTGCAGACAAGTCAGGGCACGGACAAAATTTGACATGTGAGTGTGATGATAAAAAGTTATAATAACTAAGTGCCTATAAAGTACAAGGGGAAACTGTGCTACCACACTCACTATCTCTAGCACAAAACAAATTATGAAAAAGTAATGAAAAACCTATTTCAAAAATTTCTGAAAGTTATCTAGTTAACTAGCACTCATTTAGTATGTTAGTACATCGAAGACTTTGAGTGGGAGCCGATCATATAGCAACTTCGTAAAAAAAAGTCAGTCTCAGGAAAGTGCCAAACACAAGAGATGACAATAATTCTGCAAAAASAAAWAAATAAATAAAAAAAGAAGATAAACAATATATAAAATAGAAATACACCAGCAGTAAACGTCTCGTCCAGGGAATCGATCCCGYTACCGTCAAACCTACATTGGATTTGCAAGCAGCGCCTTAACGCGGTGCGCCACTGGACCACGCYCATTTACATAATAATAGACCACTTGGCACTTTCATCGAATAGACTACCCCAATTTGACATTATACTTTCGATAGTTGCCTAGTTAGTGCAAGGGGTTATCCATCAGTGTCTAGGGGCCGGATAGCTTCTCCCTCACTGGCTTTTTAGTTAGCGCGAAGTTAGGACCAATTATCGGGATAGCATGGAAGAGCCGAAATCTCTAACCGGAATGTAAATCGATTCGCCGCCTCAGCTTCACAGAATGTCTCGGGGGAATCGTCCCAACCTTTTTTCGATTTTATGGTCATGGGTTCGAATCCAACCAAAGTTTTTTCTTTTTTCATATTTCTTTTTTTTTCTTTTTGTTGTTGTCTTTGATTAGCTTCCTACATTAATGATTGTTTGCAATATCTCCAGAATCATTTGGCAATTATTTCTATATAAGCGCGCTTTCATTGGCTTTTTTTCATTAAACGTATAATAGGTTTCAGCGCGGCGATTCCGCAACTGAGAATCACTTTTTAAACAGAGTGGCCGAATTATGTTTTCTATAGCGTACGGACATTGTATATATTCTGAAATTTTCTGTAATTAGATAAAATATCGATTTTAAAATACTATAATTAGTTATAAAAGGTTTTTTCTTTCTTAGATAGTATTTTTGTGATTTGTTTTGTACATTTTAAAACTCCCACTCATTTAGTGCCTGCGTCACGCTAAGTGTGAYAAGAAACTAAATCTGCTCGATTTTAAAATACTATAATTTTGTTTAGAGTCAAATAATAATATGAATACGCTGCAAACTTCCTGATTTTACCATGCACATTTAKCCCGGCATAGAATACATCATCGCGAAAAGCGACACTTATKAAATTTTGTAAAMTCCGATTTCAGACACGGAATGCAGCAATGTCACTACTATGTTCTCAATACCTGCTAACACTTTTTGTATTTTTCTTGTTTATGAATTTATGATTRATCATTTTTTCGTGGAAATTGTCGCATTTCGGCTTATTTGAAAGAGAAAATCCATGTCCGCACGAATAAGTCACGCAGTCTATTCATACGAAAATTAAAAGAAAAAGTAATGAAAAACGTAATTCAAAAATTTCTTAATCTAGTTAACCGTGATTCGAAAAAATTAGTCGTGAGTCGTGAAATCGCCAAATTTTTAGCCGTGAGTCGTGATGCGTACCACCCCATTGAGACCCTCATATAACGCATTTAACAACAACAAAAAAGCAAGGAAAACAAATTGGGAATGTACGGCCCTTATTTCAAACAATCACGGTTCGCTTTATAAACTTCCTAAACTTCCTATATTATAATATCAATTAAATTCTGGAGTATGGACCAGAGTAAGACAGAGTACAGAGTAGCTCATTTGGACCAGCATCTTAACGAAAATCGCACAATTATCTCACCTTTGGATCCTTGAAGTAAACTTCTCTTGAGAGACTTGGTCCAGCTTGATCTATCTGTAAATGTCAAGTTACYAAAGGTACTAAAGGTACTAATAAGCATATCGCGGATTTAATTGTGATGTTTGCATTTTACTGCCCATGATCCAAATTGTACGTACAACCGGCAAAATAAGCTGTTCATTGGCAGACCTCACGAGATGTTAACAAACTTTGCGGCTTGCATGCACTACAAGCAATATTGTTGCAAAATAATTATCGTCGTCATAATTATTATCATTGTTTATTATTATGTATTGTCCATAGTAACACTTCTCCCGGACAACCTYACACTTTGATGTATCTCCAAATTGACAATAAATGTAATCAATTTGTTCGTTGTGTTTAAACATGTTATTGGCCGGTGATATATATCGAAATCGGTTTATTAATTGCTTATGATACTAGCAGTTCTTCATACTCTTGTTATCGACCAATCAAACTTCGATTAAAGATGAAAAAGCKATTAAAATCGTCTTTTTTCACGAAAAAAAAATATCAARAAAACAGCCTCCTACTATGCCTAAAAGACGATATTGGTACCCAAAATTAGTTTCATCTTTTTTTCTGCGCAGTGTGAAGAAGCTAAAACAACTTTTGAACAACGTTTTTAAACCTCTAGTCTGAACCGTAAGGAGTAATATGTGAATACTTTACTTGCACTTCCAGACAATTGGAGCCAATTTAAGCCTTTTTTGTTCGTTTACATTCAGAAAATGGATTAGATACGGAAACCAGTACTTTTGATGCCTCTTTTCAAGTGGAGTGATTGCCGATACCTCGATGATCTTTTTTGAACAATTCCGACGGAAGATCAGATTTGCTCACCTTGAAAAGGCCCGCCAGCGCGAACATGCTTTGTGGATTATTATGCCAATCATTTCATAAGACTATAGTCCTATCTCAATTTTAGAATAATTATTTTTCTGAAATACGGCTTATTTCTATCTATTTCAGTTTTGAAAATCGCGCTTGAAAAACTATGTTTGCATACTATCATGCAAACACACTTCTCGACCAATCAGAGCGCGCGTAGCATCTAAATTATTTTCTCTTTAAGGAYGTTCGTGGGCAATGGACTCCGTGATGTCACTTCGATGAAATTTTTTGGGAAAATACGCGATGACACAAACTTGCAAAAAAGCGATAAAAAAGTGGAGGTCACCGGCTTCATTTTAGAGATAATTCTTGCACAAAATACCCAAAGAAAAATTTTTTTGTCAAAGAAAAGCGCCCGAAAAGTGTTCGATGCCGTCTGTCAAAAAAGTTCCCAAAAAAATATAAAACACATATCAATTGATCCAAATTTTTCCACAAAAGCTGAGGTCGATAATTGTTAATATTGTTTACGAGACTTTGAAACATTACATGATGTGATTTTTGATTCCTTTAGGATTTTTGTCGGTGTCAAGCCGCCACATTCGACGTCAACAAGAGGTGTCATTTCCAGCTAAAACTGCTATATTTCAGAAACCTCTGATGTCGTTTTTTCCGCTTTCACATATGTTATATTTTTTCCAAGTAGCCTTCTTTTAAGATAAATAGAAATTGGGGTTACCGGGTTCGTTGTGGAGATATTTCGTGTCGAAATCTAAGATTTTGCAGGCCATCTTGAATTGCGAGAGACTTTTTTCTGCCAATCTACGACTTTTTAGAGCATTTTGAACACTTTTTCGCCTCATCGATTTTGAACGTGAAGACATTTTGAATACAAGTATAAGTTCAGAAAAGTACGTACAAAACCACACAAACACATAAYAAGAGCGGTCGCCATCTTTGTTTTTGCTTGATGCAAATTTCGTGACAACTTCCGGTTTTGGCGTGCGCAGAAAGCGTGCGCAGTAGCAATGCCCTCGAACGTCCTTAATAGAATAAATATTATGCTTACTTACATCAATGATGTGTCGATTATTGTGCACTGGATCATCGCTAACATGGACAGAAAATAGCGGTCCTCCTGCAGAAGTGTAGTTACGGTGAATTAAATGAAGAATATCAACAAAATCCCATTTCTTCTCGTCCCAGTCATTACTTGTCTCATCGAGATCCCATGATCCCATTTTCTTAATAAGCACCTTAAGTGGCAAGTCACTTGTTTTATCAATGCTTTTTAAATCCATACAAGATTGATAAATCTGCGATGGCATTTTCATCATTGCTTCAGTAGCACCATCTATGTTTGTAATGCCATCTTCTAAAATGCGTCTTAGTAATTTTTCTACTTTTCCGTGGAGTTTCGTGAACGTTGAATATGAAGACGAACTTGCAGGGATGGGATTCTTCTTTCTCCATCCTCCACAAACATATTCGTAAAAATCTGTGCAAGGATCTTGCTTAAAGTCCATGGTATATTTAAGATRGTCGGCGACCTTTTTACATTGTGCAGTATGACAAACCCCGCCTTGGATGCCTGCGTGCTTTGTCTCATCGTGCGATCGTGCAAATCTTGTCGATCGAATCGCTCCGCCAGTACTTAAAAGTTCTTCAAAATATGTTTTTTTGTTTTCACTTGTTGCTACGTGTATGACGGCAATGACCAGTAATACTGTCAATACTCCCGTAATTGCCATAAACCGTGGCCCACAGATTGATCGTTCATCTTTGTCATCTTTTTGTACGCTCCTTCCCCATCCTTTCTTATCATCTTCCATTACAGCAAAATCTCTCTCTTCACAAACCAGTCCTGGACTGGGGCAGCTCTATGTCGATGAATCTACGATCAAGCGCCCACACTGTGTTCAGTCCGTTGGTAAATAATAAATTATGAAATACCACAAGCAAATCAAGCCCTTACGTCATGATTATTCGCCCATGAAGACGAACAACGACACCTGCGTACRCATGCGCCGTAGGTATCAATCAAAACATAAGGCCATCATTTGCAAAGTATTTTTATATTAACATGATAGAAACAATTGTGATTTCAAACTCAGATTGAATCAATATGTAAGTTAGTTATCGTAGAAGGGTATTAAATTTCCAGGGTGGAAACAATGATTTTTATCTACTGTTCGGCGAACAACCTGTTGAATCACTGATCCAACATCAAAATATGACTTCTGATCAGTGCACTATGATAATACCTCTTTAGAATTTTAAAAAACATTAAGAAGTTATTAACCGAGCGCAAGATCTGYATGTGTAAATATCAGGGATCAAGGTAAATGAATCGTTCATTTTATGACTAATCGTAAATGATGTGGATGAATTAACAGTAAATGTCACTGCGCTTCACCCCCTGCCCTCTCATGATACAATGACAAAACAAGATTCAGCACTGATATTCAGGCAATTTGAAGCAGATTTTAGTGTTTATCAACCGATTCAGTACCACAAATTTCGGTGATTCTCACTTCCGCCTCAGCTGGTTCTGGCTGCGGGCTTCTTTTTGAGCTTTCACATTTTTGATGTATTTTTCTTTCAAAYATTTTTTTTGTTAAAGCTTAAAAGCTTTCTTCAACCTATTTTGAATGCTTATAGGCATTTTGAAGCTGGACTGATATTTTTTTCTTTCAAAATAAGTCGAACTCGAGTTGTTGGAAAAAAGAGGAAAACATAAAAYGGACGCGAGCGCACCAACACCAGAAAGGCGGGAATTCGATTGAAATTAATAAAAAATGAATCATTCTCACTTCACGTTTTCATTACGAGCATTTTATACCTTTTATAGTTAAACCATTTCTGAATTTGATATCAAACGTAGCTTGTTATATAAGAAGTGTACCGAATATGGGCTTAGAATAMAGGGGATATCGTGGTAATCACGTGTAGTCAAGAATTTCAGATCTTTTGAAGATTTTGRCTAAAAGTCCTTTAAAAGATCGTTGTCACTTTTCCAATCGATCAAAGATGCCAGTTATGACGAAATAAAGGCGGCTGCCATTTTTTATAAGGATTTTAAGAATCATTTTTTTGAATGCAGAATGTGAAAATTTTAAAATATTAATGGAAACTAGCGGCGGTACACTAGCATAAGCAGCGAAATAAGCTGTATCGCTTTACTCCGATGAAGGATTTACGTCCGCGTCAAGTTATTTCACCTTTTTACCTTTTTTATCTTATTTCACAACTGTTTAAAATTAAGTACATCTGGAAATTAAATTTGCTATGAAATACAACTAAGAATAAATTTTATTAATCATAATGTAAGTAGAAAGATTAAAATATTAGAGAAATTTTGCATCATAAAGCTTGATCACGTCATAGACGTGCGGCAACGGAGGTAAGTGTGCATGGGATATTTGGCTGCGTAGCCAGGCATTCCATGCCGCTCCGACTGAGAGTTTGTTTTTTTTTATAACTGGTAGAACGTACTGTTGCGGTATTTGATCTGACTTTCATTCTGAACGTGTCTTCACTATGTACTTATATAGCATGTATATAATTGAGTATATAGTCACACGGTTAGGAAAAGATCTCGGAGGATTTTACACACCATTCACTACAAACACTCAATCACAGTACTACCAAATCTGCATATTAATGATCTTTTTTTTCCGCTGTGATTTTGAATATCGCGCTGTTCATACCAGTCTATTGCACTGGAAAAAATCGCGCGCTATAAAGGTTGTAAATTTGATGTATATATGATGCAAGTGTCCAAAATGATGTAAATTTGATGGAAATCATTTTGGACACTTACAACATATTTCCATCAAATTTACAACCTTTATGGTGCGCGATTTGTTTTCCAGTGTTGTTTTAGTTAATCAATCGTGACCATAAATGGAAGAGCGAATAGAAATCAAAGTTTCTACCAGATTGTCTGATACGTACGTACAGTACTTCGATAGCGCCTACTTCTGTCTTCATACATAGACAAACGCAAGATATATCTTAATTTTCCGAGCATCTGCCCTTCATATCCAGCTAATKTCAAGTCTACCAAGTGACATTACATAAATTTTCGTGATTTGTTTAAAACAATCCACTGTTACTACACCACACAGTGTTTGACTGACTTAACAGCTGACTTCACYGCCCTCGCCCTGTGATTTCCTCGGTATTCATTTTCTTATTTTTTTTCGTCGCTGTTCAAATTTATTGAATGAGTAGAAGCCCTCTAATCTTTGTTGTTCAGGTAATCTAAGCCAAAAAACGTTAAATTAATCATGATATTCAGGCGTTGGTCGTTTTCCAGAATATTAAAAGACAGCATCCTACAAAATGATATCTGGTTTTCTAAAATTGAAAAGTTCAAGCGAAATGAATGCAGAACATAGCCGTCAGGCGAAAAATGACAGACAATTTTATTATTTCAAACATGCAACAAATTGCGATGGCTCCTTCATTTTTCTGTCCTTCTTCTTTTTTTCAGAAGCAAATTGAAAAGACTAATAAAAACAAAGTTCAAGAAAAAAAATACTAAACTCTACTTTCAGGTGTGAACCGCACTTCTATTCTTCAAATCCGCCCTGAGGATATGCTTGACCGTACATTTCAAATGTTTTAAAGACGATGAACAAACCGATGCAAAGCTTTTCCACATAAGCGTTAACATCCGTTCAACTTTTATGAATGCTCTACAACAGTATGAACGACGTAAAAAGGTAAATCATAAAAGTTTGGAACCGAAAAGAGAGATTGATCGAATTGTATTGAAAATGCTCTCTACAAAGAAAAAGCGTGCGCGTGCGCAAACATTTTGACGGGTTGAGGCGGGTTGAGGCGGGTGGATCGACTTCATACCTGTTTGGTTCTTTGGATCCGTGAATAAAACAATAAAAATTAGAAACCAAACAAATATTTACAAATTTCTAATCGAAAAGAAGCAGTTAAAAAGGTAAGTTTAATCAGTATCTTTTTYTTGGAGTTATGTGTGATATGTTATATCTTTGATCTTTTTAGTCTATTGTTCATTAAATGATTCATAGGTTCCACTTGCTGGCTGTAATTAAGAAAGCCAACAGAGCATATCTCGGCTACTTAGCGAGCTTGTCGTGGTTTGTGATTGCAAGGGATCACTGAATCATTGTCTTTTTTATTTGTGTGTGTTTTTCTAATGTCCAGATATATTGAATAAGCTCATATTACTTGAAARTTGACACTGATAGCTTGTTACTAAAGATTTCAATATCACTTACAGCTTCAAGAGCACCAAGAGTGACTACACATACATAGCTACACTGAAGATCATTGGATGTTTCTGTAGTTTGAGCAGGTAGCAAAATATACCACGGATATTCATTCAACGATCCATCTATCCATTCGTCCATCGCAATAAAAAATGCTATATCGAATATGATTTATCACTTTTCAAAAATTGTTGYATCCCATTTGAAAAAAGTAAACAGCGAATTGTAAAGAGTAAAGTAATGGCYCGAGTATGAGAATCTCATGCACGAATTTTTCAATTTAGCCTAAAGTAGTTCGTATCTAAGATACTTTAAGCAAATCTAGTACACCAAGGTTCTTAAAATAGGTTATTGTATTTTCATGTACTTCTTTTAGATATATTTGATACCTTATAACTTGAATTTACTTACCTTGAGTTCTGCTGAAGAAGCGTTAAAATTGCTAATTTTTAGAAAAGAAGAGAGGATTATAGGTCCGGTTTACTGCGCCAAGGCACAACATCGGGAGCTCTAGATTTGTGCCCTGCTCTTCAGGGGCGGATCCAGCATTTTATAAGGGGGTGTGATTTTGTCAGTAATATATAGCTAAAAACTAAGTGTAGCAGGTGTAACTGATCATTTTTCTTAGCTGTGTATTGTCTAGAGCAAGAAAATTATGCACAACTTTACCGGAAGCAAATTGACTTTTATTGGAGCGTATCTTTGACCATCTTTGACTACACTAACTCAGATAGATTGTTAAGCAGCATAGTGTTGTGTATGCTACTCGTTTTCTCGATAAAAGTACAACAGGAGTTTAAGCAGCAAAAAAACGTTTATACTGATATATAAAATATTACGTCGTCCAAAAGGGGGGGGGCACCTCCTCTGGATCCGCCCCTGCTCTATTTGAATTGYGCTGTGGGTTCGTTTACGGGTGGTGTTTATACGAAGTGTGAAGAGAAGTGCTTTTAGTTGACATTTTGTCTGCAACAATGATAAAACGATCTTTTGAAAGGTTCGACCAAAAATAGCAGGAAAAAAAACAGATAAGTTATTAAATCAATAAGATAATCATATTTTCCTTGCGAAACTTAAAATGAAATGCTTTTCAGTCTTAATGGAGATATCCTCATATGCAAACCAATATAACGAATAATAAATGATTACCTGCTACCRTCATACCATCGAGACTCCGCGTTAATATTCCTGAAAGGCTACTCCCACGTAACGGACAACGAAATTTCTTAACTTGTTCCCGTCGTATCAAAAAAAGAAAAACGTTTAGAGTTCACACATATTTATTAGTTGGATTATTTGATTGGTGTTTTCGTAGACCAATTGCACAGTTTTCACAAGTTGTCTTGTGTTCCTGTGTATTTGGATCAGTGGTTGTCTTCTTTCAGGAGCTCTCCCACAATATGTTATCTGATTTTTTTCTGACGCAGAGCCATGCCTCTTTGTCATTCACAGTYTTACGCAATGCATAACTTAGCTGTTTTGGGGTTTGTCCTGTTTATTACACATGTATACGCCGTCACAGATCCTTTGTCACCAGCTTTGAGTAAGTGAAAATACCGCTATAACTATAAAACTAACACCCGACTAAAATGTAAAACAATATAAAAACTTATGAAGACCTAAGTACCTACAAAGTAGGTACGTCGCCTCGCTCCTCCTGATAATTGCGCATCCCTTAGGTCCTTTTCCGAGAAAACGAGGCACTGATACAGTAAAGTCTCTTTCCTAAGGAAGCACCGTGATCGACCGGCCTTTGAATCGAACCCAGGCCTGTAGCCACTTAACCCTCACGGCAGGTTYTAGGAAGAAAATTGATGATGATTACCACCTGCATAAGTTTTTTTTCTTTTTTTTAATTTAATTTTGTTTTGTTTCTTTTTTGTTTGGTGCTTTAGTTGAGCCTTTCTCCGTGGATATTAAATGCCCCAAGGGCAAAGCATTCCAGTGGACAAAATCGGCGCCAAAAGGACTGGACTTAGTTGTATATTACGCATGTGGAGGTTCAGGTAAACGAATAGTAATCTACTATCTACTATCTACTA